TTGGAGAATGTTTTCCATTACTAATTTATCATTGATTATTCCCTTTAGCGTAAAATACAATAGATATTTAACGAACAACTAGAAGATGCTACTATGTATTTATACAATTTTTGCTGACACCTACTTTTAAATTGATAGAACAACTTCATTAACAATAATTAGAATAAAAAAAAGAAATTACCTAAATAAACTCTCTATTAAGAAAGACTTTCACATTTGGGATACCTCATTGAATAGAATGAATCGAATAAATATTTGGTAATGGAGTAAATATTGTAATTAAGAAACATGATTAATTGAGAAAATGATGTACAATGAAGCCCAGCCCACTCTCTCTATCTATATTTAAAGAAGTATGCAATCGAGTAATCGAACCACGGCATATCCTTGATCTCGTGTAGCAGGTTTAACTAGTTGCATCTCCATAACATAGTCATGAAAGGTCGTTCCATCACCGTGCCAAGTACTACCGTGCGTTCTTGTAGACATCATCCCACCAACTGTTAGTCCCCACCAGTGTGGTGTCATTCTCAGTGCAATGGTTTCAACGGTGGGCCAGACGTTCTCGATAATTCTCGGCTTACAGGATTATGTTTGAATTCTAACGCATTCCAAGGATCTTTACCTGTTTTTCCAACGACCATCATGTTCATCGTTGCGTCGAATAACAAGTTTGATGGGGTCATACCACGTTCACTGTGCACTGCAACACATCTACGTTACCTTGATCTATCTTCCAACCATCTCATTGGTTCGATTCAGCATTGCATCCTAGAAACACTAGAAGCCTTCATTCTCGGCCACAACAACCTGGTAGGGACAATTCCTCACGTGTTAACAAGAATGCCCTACTTTGCAAATTTCAGTTCACCTTTCGTGGATATGTTGGAAATTCAGGGCACAACGGCGACGTACGTGGGATTCTATTTGAGTATGACAGATTACTACCGTGCGTCAGGTTCCTTTCTTTATGAACCATGGGTGTCTGTGAGAAGCAACGGAGGAAACTTGAAGCTGGAAAAAATCATATCCTCGTACCTTGCCATTGATTTCTCTGGAAACAGATTTGATGGACTGATTCCAGACTCCATTGGAACATTAAAGTCGGTCAATACGATCAACTTGTCTGGAAACAATTTCAGAGGTTGTATTCCATTATCTTTGGCAAATCGCAAGAGGCTGGAGTCACTTGACCTATCTCGAAACCAACTTCTTGGAAGCATTCCACAAGGGTTAGCTACCCTCACCTTCTTGGCTTACATTGGCCTATCTTATAACCATCTCAGGGGCCAAATACCACAAGGTGCGCAATTTACAGGGCAACCTAAATCTCATTTTGAAGGAAACATCAATCTTTGTGGTCTTAACAAGTTGCGATAAGAATACAGCACCAAGAACACCAAATATACTACAACCACCAAAGTCAGAGAACCAAGATCAACTTTTTGGCTGGATATTAGGAATACTAAGTTTAGGGCTTTTGTGTTGAATGGATTGTTAATAGCGAAAATTATTGAACTTATGAATTAGGCAACTAAATAAATTATTACTTCTTATAATATGATTTTTTTGTTTTTAAATAACTTTCAACAAAATGTTCACTTAATATATGAAGAATACACTATCTTGCTCTGGATTACAAGATATCAAACAAAGATAAGAGCTAAGAGTAAGAGACAAACCTGAACCAAACATAATCACAATGTTTTCATTAAAACCCAAAAAAACTCTAAAACTTGATTGTTTCTTTGCCAAGGAATTACAGATTCCATTGAAATCCTAAAAAAACTCATCTTTGATTGAGCCTGTAAGAAGTTAGGGTTTAGACAAGTACTAAAGCAATAGAGATAAAGAGAATCAAAAGCGATAGAGAAATCAAAAGAAAGGCAAAGAGACTTCTGGCT